GTTTCTGTTGGGTATCATATTCCTTCTGCTTGAAGAACTCTAACATTCCATGTGGTACAGGTCTTTGGGTAATAAATTCTCTCTACTTGGTTTTTCTGAAGAAGTCTTCATTTCGCCTTTATTTTTGACCAAAAAAAAAATATTTTCACTGGATATAGAGCTCTGGGTTAGCAGTTGTGTTTTTTTCAGTACTTTAAAAACATCACTCCATTGACTTATGGTTTGCATAGTTTTTGTTGAGAGGTTGGTTGTAATTCTTATCTTTATTTTTCTGTATGTTTTGTGTCCTTTTTTTGTCTGACTACGTCTGACTTTCTATTTCTACTTGTTTTTGAGAAGTGTGATTATAATATATCTAGATGTGTTTTCTTGAAAATTATCCTGCTTGGGATTCTCTGAGTTTCTTTGGTCTGTTGCTTAGATGTATTTTATTATTTTTGGAAAATTCGTGGCTACTATCTTTCCAAGTATTTCTTCTTTCCATCTTTCTTCTCTTTCTGGGACCCCAGTTATAATCATATTAACAAAAAATGTTATTGTTCTATCGGTCTCGGTCTCAGTTGTTCTCTCACTCTGTTTCTCTCTCTCTTTTTCTTTCTCTCTCTATGTCTTTCTTTCCCTCATCTTTTATTTTTCTCTTTGTGTTTCAACTTGGGTAATTTATGTGGCCTATCTTCAGCTTCACTGATTCTTTTCTCAGCTATGTCAAATCTACTAATGAGTCTGTCAAATCTGCTAATAAGCCTGTCAAAGACATCCTTTATTTCATTTCCACTAACATGGTTTTGGTTTTGTTTTTAATTTATGACATTTCTATTAAACCCTTTCTTGTAGTTTTCATCTTTTCGATAAAATTTTCTATCTGTGCACACACATGATCTACTTTTTTATTAGGTTATCAAATATATTAATCAACTATTTTTAAGTCTCTATATCACAGTCCTAACAACTATGTTATTTGAGTCCAGACTATTAGTTGCTTTGCGTCCCCAAAATGGGTTGTTTTTTCTCGCTGTCTGTGTGCCTTTGGCGGTGGAGGGCTTCCTCGTTTTTTTTTTTTTTAATTAAAGCTGGACTTTGTGGCTAGAACTGCAAATACCATTACTATTCCAATAACCATTTATAAGCCATATCAATAAGAGTAAGGCAATGATAATTGATTCTACAGGTCCAGATGGGATTTTAACACATAGTTGGTCCATGACACGTAAGTCTGGTGTTGCCATGAGTCCACAATGGTAATGAGTAGCCCAACCAGTCTGGCTACGTACAGAAGTCCCACCACACTCAAATAGCTTGGATAATAAGAATTAAAAGTAGTTGGCCGGGCACGGTGGCTCAAGCCTGTAATCCCAGCACTTTGGGAGGCTGAGATGGGCAGATCACGAGGTCAGGAGATCGAGACCATCCTGGCTAACCCTGTGAAACCCCGTTTCTACTAAAAAATACAAAAAACTAGCCGGGCGAGGTGGCAGGCCCCTGTAGTCCCAGCTACTCGGGAGGCTGAGGCAGGAGAATGGCGTAAACCTGGGAGGCGGAGCTTGCAGTGAGCCGAGACCGCGCCACTGCACTCCAGCCTGGGCGACAGAGCGAGACTCCGTCTCAAAAAAAAAAAAAAAAAAAAAAAAAAAAAGAATTAAAAGTAGTTTGTCCCACTGTCCCATTTTTTATTCAACTTTGAAAATAAAAGGAGCCATGCATGTCTTATCTCTTTGTATTTGTTATGTTCTGAATGAATGAACAAGTGAGCTTCTCCTGGGTCAGGCTGCTAGAGAGGGTTTTAAAAGTGATCTCCAAACTCTCATCTGGCTACCTGTAAACCGTTCTACTAAAAAAAAAAACTAGCCGGCGAGTGCAGGCCGTAGTAGCACTCGGAGCTGAGCAGGAATGGCGTAAACTGGAGGGAGTTGCATGACCGAGATGCACTCCACTGGGACAGAGGAGACTCGTCTCAAAAAAAAAAAAAAAAAAAAAAAAAAAAAATTAAAAGTGGTTTGTCCCATTTTTTATTCAACTTTGAAAATAAAGGAGCCATGCATGTCTTATCTCTTTGTATTTGTTATGTTCTGAATGAATGAACAAGTGAGCTTCTCCTGGGTCAGGCTGCTAGAGAGGGTTTTAAAAGTGATCTCCCAAACTCTCTAAGTTACAAGAACAAAAATCAACTAATCAAGCCACAGAATGAATTTCAGGGAAAATATAATCTGGAGTAGACATATAGGAAAGTCCTCTAGCACTAAAAACAAAAACAAAAATATAGTTGAAATTACACCCCGGTTTAAATAGAGATGCTGTTACCCAGCGTGATGCCTATGTGGCACAGCTAAAGCTCGACCTGCCCTAACTCCACTGATCTTTATGGAACAGGATGCCTGGGACAAAAAGTTTTCCTTTGTAAACAGACCAGCGGAGACTGGTTAAATCCAAGAGAGTTGACCATACGACTTCAAAAAGACTTTAGGCTTCATTATAATCTCATTTCCATGCTAAATGACATTCTCACCAGTGCCATAACAGTTGCCAATCACCATGACAATGACTACAGGAGGCCATAAAAAGGAAAAATGAAGGCAGCACTCCAGTTCCAGGAAGTTCATTGCCCATTTCCAGAAAAGACATGAATATTCCTCCCCTGGCTTTTAATATCCAACCCCTTCTTTAGAGGAACTCTGTATTTTAACCCCCTCACCCCTCACTAGTGGAGAAGTTGATTTGCGAGCCATGCTCCTGCTTCTCAATTCCATGGCCATGGAATAAAGCCTGCCCTGCTTTCGATTTCATGTATCAGCTTCATGACACTGAACAGGAAAAGACTCCAGTTTTGGGAAACCAGCTTTGTCAGTAACGATGCCAATAGAACTTGATAAGCAAAACAAATTTCATTGAATATTAATTAATTAATTAAATGGTGCTTGGACCATTGGCTAGTTATCTGGGAGGGAAAAAATCTAGATTTAAAAAAATATGTGACCCCTTCAGAATCTTTCTCAATACCACATTCGGGATGGCCACTACCAATTAACTGGAGTTAGCATCTAACTGGAACTTATTTACCATTCCTTATTTAGTATCTTATTTCTAATAGATGAAAAACAAATTAATGATCTCGAAGATTTACATTCACACAAGTAGATGGTAATTTTGACAGCTAATCTTTGGATAGTCAAAGACGTAAGTGCCTACGTTCCTGAACAAATCACAAAGGAGCAAATCAATAAATCTGAGCACATAAAAATTTAAAATATCTTTCTAACAAAAAATCTGGCCGGGTACAGTGGCTCATGCCTGTAATCCCAGCACTTTGGGAGACCAACGTGGGTGGATCACCTGAGGTCAGGAGTTCAAGACCAACCTGGACAACATGGCGAAACCCCATCTCTACTAAAAAAAAAAAAAAAAAAAACAAAGATTAGCCAGGCATGGTGGCATGCACCTGTGGTCCCAGCTACTTGGGAGGCTGGGAGGCTGAGGCGTGAGAATCACTTGAACCTGGAAGGTGGAGGCTGCAGTGAGCGGAGATCGTGCCACTGCACTCCAGCCTGGGTAACAGAATAAAACTCTGCCTTAACAGAAAAGCCAAAAAACAGAAACAAAAAAACCCAAAAAACATAATTAACAACATGAAAAAATATATTTACATATAATATTTTTAAACAAATATAATACCAAAAAATTATACACACAGAGCAGTGACCTGGATCCTGACAGTCACACCTCCAGCATGACCAAAAGCAAGGTGCATAGTCTCTATAAGCTTCAGTTTCCTCATCTCTAAGATGGAGCTATTGACGATTCTCACACCACAGGATTGCTATAAGGTTTAAACGAGTTAATCTTACTATGCATTGCCTCATAGTAAACATTGTGTAGTAAATATGTGTTTGCTACTATTACTGTTGTTTCCAACTGAAGCTGTACCTTCTTTCAGTCAATATTTAGAACTAGTTAATATTTATTGTTTCATTATAAATATATGATCATTGAAGTTTTCAAACTAAAACTTTTCAAAACAATTAAGATTTTCTGCTCATCATCACTGGTCATTAGAGAAATGCAAATCAAAACCACAATGAGATACCATCTCATGCCAGTTAGAATGGCGATCATTAAAAAGTCAGGAAACAAGAGATGCTGGAGAGGATGTGGAGAAATAGGAACACTTTTACACTGTTGGTGGGAGTGTAAATTAGTTCAACCATTGTGGAAAACAGTGTGGCGATTCCTCAAGGATCTAGAACTAGAAATACCGTTTGACTCAGCAGTCCCATTGCTGGGTATATACCCCAAAGATGATAAATCATGCTACCATAAAGACACATACACACGTATGTTTATGTGGCACTGTTCACAATAGGAAAGACTTGGAACCAACCCAAATGCCCATCACTGATAGACTGGATAAAGCAAATGTGGCACATATACACCATGGAATACTATGCAGCCTTAAAAAAGGATGAGTTCATGTCCTTTGCAGGGACATGGATGAAGCTGGAAACCATCATTCTCAGCAAACTAACACAAGAACAGAAAACCTAACACTGTATATTCTCACTCATAAGTGGGAGTTGAACAATGAGAATGCATGGACATGGGGAGGGGAATGTCACACACTGGGCCTGTCAGGGGGTGGGGGGCTAGGGGAGGGATAACATTAGGAGAAATACCTAATGTAGATGATGGGTTGATGGGTGCAGTAAACCACCATGGCATATGTATACCTACGTAACAAACCTGCACGTTCTGCACATGTACCCCAGAACTTAAAGTATAATTTAAAAAATTAAGGTTTTCATAATCATAGATAAGACCTTTTTGGAATCCTTTCTTCTGATTATATGTTTATGTTCTCTTTAGCACAAGTATGGATTTCACTGTATAAATTTTTCTGTCCTGCTTTGTCATTTACTATTTGCTGTAGCTTGAATTCTCCTCTCTATCATTAAATGCCTTTAAAAATCTGATTTTTACCCTATTGTATTTAACCATTCCATTTTCAGACATTCTGGCAGTTTGCTTAATTTTATTATAATAAATAATGCTGTGATGAACCTTATTGTATAAACAAGTTTCCAGTTGTTTCCAGGCATAGTAGAGATATTCAAAACTTATTCGTTTGAATGGAGAGGTGGCTAAGTGGACGAACAGAAAAAAGGGTGAATGTGTGAATGTTAAGCACTGGAATATAAAGATGTGAAGAAGATATAAAGGTCCAAGTCTATCCATTGACAGGTGAAGTAAGAATTCAGACTATTTTAAAGATAGAAGAGTCTTGAGAATATTCAAATACTGAATAAAAAGACTCAGTAGTTATGATTGTGGACTGAGAATGGAGTGAGTATGACTGATGAGTACAGATCCCTAGAGAGAGGAAAGGAATGAGATCCAGAACAGGTGTGGAGGGTAATTCCTTCAGGAGTCAACCTATTATTTCATGACTGGAGAGAAGGAAGCAAGGAGGCAAGGTTGTGTGTTCATGCAGGTATGTGTAGAAGCAGGAAGAAAGTTGAGAGCGTTCTGAGGCTCCGAGGGCCCCTTTTTGTTAATATCAGCATGGCCTTTCCAAACTGGAGGGGCAAAAGGAGATGAAATCAGAGTTTGGGAAAAAGTAAGTTTGAGAAAGCTGTCCTAGATTTCCGCAGAATATGAGAAAAGGCTACCAAGGACCACACAGAGGGATGGCCAGGCAGCTCTGAAATACGGGTTGAAACTGAAAGCTTCACAATGCTATGTAGAGCAGGAAGAACTGTCACTGGGCTTTCCGGGAAGGGAGAAATAGAAGGACAAAGACAAGGAAGATAATGACTTGAGGATCTGCATGAGAATATGAATGTTGTGGCAGCCCAGATCTGGGCTGAATATTATCAGAATAGTGAAGGTGAGAGAGAGGGGAGCAGATCTATTGCAAGATGACCAAAGGAACAACTTCTTGGAGATTTTTTCTGAGTCTTGAACAGAAGGAAAGGGATCAGAGAAAGAAAGAGCTGGGATGATGGGAGATTGTTGTCAGAGAGCTCCCAGGGGAGAGGAATTTAAGATTTTAGAAGTAGATAAATTACAGGGACATGTCCAAAATAGGGGCCTTGATAACAAATGCCCTAAGTAAAGTGAAAGAATGTGCCAATCGGTTGAGAAGCTTAAAGAACAATGGCCATCTGGTCAAGGACAAGGGACATCCAAATCATCCAGAATAAGGGTGAGTCTTGGAGCAAAGCGGGAGACAAACACCCAGTGCGAATGTTTTCTGTGAATATGGGGCCTTGACTCAACCGAATAAATGATCAAGGAAAAAGGTTAGAAAGTGGCAAACAAGATGGCGGCAACTTCCTGCTTAAGAGCAGATGAAGTAGCCTGAGAGTCGCCTCAGGGAGGGAGTCTCAAAGAAGAAAGGGGATTGCAATGAACAAAGGAGGGGGAAGGGCCTTTTAAGCCGAAGCTGTACCGTGAGCAGAGTCAGAGTTCCTGACCTTTGGGAAACCAGGAGGACGGGAGAGTGGCAAATCTATGTGACCAAGGCGGTGTTGATCCCACAGCATGTAATGGCAGGACTGTTGCACCAGGGAGACTTACAGAGTCATGAGTAATGGAAAGTGTGTTCCCGTTGTCAAAATAAATGAATAAAATGTATTTTATGGGGTGTTATTTTTAGTTTTATAAGGCCAGATGTTCCAGCTGTACATTGCCTTATGTGCCTGTATTTCCTGGAAGCGACAGCGTCTCCATTTTCCTGACAGTCTGGAAATGCCTCGCTCGGCCTCCATTATCCAGCGTCTGCTCTCCTATGGCCTCACTTATCTGGATCCTAGAAACGAAAGTAGAGGGGACACATCAGGACCCCAGACAGCCAGAAGCAATGTCACAAAGCCCACAGGCTTTATTTGCTGGATATCAGCCACAGTCTATTTTATTTTAAGGCAACTTGTAACAAAGTTCAGTTGTTTGGTTTCCTAACCCAGAGCAACACTGCAGGTTCTGCTGTTAAACACTAAAAGGAAGAGTGGGAATAATAAATCAAAAGGATCAAGTCACAAAGGGGCCAGGCAAGAGAAACACGAGAGGCTGCCATGTTATAGGATCATCAGAAACAGCTGAGGGCGGACACAGAAAAGCTAGGAAATGAAGCGACATATGGTTTGCGGCCATTACTCTGCTCTAACCTTGTAGAACTCTGTGGAATCCTGTCATAATAAAACGGTTCATTTCATCTGAATTGGGGACCCCCGAGGTCTGATCCCCAGAGTCCCCAAGCCAACTTTTCCCTCCTTAGCCATCCAGCTTCTTGGGGTGCCCTTGTGTGCTCATGCAGATATGTGTAGAAGCAGGAAGAAAGTTGAGAGAGTTCTGAGGCTCCAAGGGTCCCTTTTGGTTAATACCAGCATGGCCTTTCCAAGGTGGAGGGGCAAAAGGAGATGAAGTCAGAGTTTTGGGAAAAGGCTTCTCTCCCACAGAAGCCAGGAACAGGCCATCCACCCACAGCTGCCACCTTGCCATCTTCTCAGCCCTCAGACCCGCTGCAAACTCAAGGACCTTTTATCTTCAAGGGTTTTATGAGGGTTTGGGGTCAGAAAAAAAAAGAAAAGAAAAAGAAAACAGAGAGGGTGACAAAATAGATATATGAGGAAATTTCAAAGACCGAGATATTCTCCAAGTAGTCATTTTCTGGTCAATAAATATTTGTTGGGTAAATTAATGATCTGTTTAGAAATGAACTTGGGCATCAGCCCAGCTTTCCTGGCCCCTTTCTGAACCAGCTGTCTCAGCTGTCCCCTGGAAATCACGATGTTTTATGTCTGTCAGATGCTTTAGACACTTGGGGTGCGGGAACAGATTCTTAGTCCAAGCATAAGTAGACTCCTGGGATAAGGCTGGGGGCTCCCAGGGAACCCACACATACATATATTCCCCTAGATGTCCCTTCCCTCTTCTCACCCACCAGCCCCTCTAGGACCCTTTCTCCAGCCCACAGTTCTAAAGATGCCTCTAAGCTGGTCGGTCAGTAGATCAAAGAACAGGCTTCTACTCAGAGTCATTTGTGCACAGAGAATTCCTGGAGAGTCTCCCAATGTGGCCCATTTTGGTTATTTTTTGGTATAAATAAATAAAACTTGTCAAATATATTTTAGAGAAATGTATAAAATGACTCATGTTACACATTTTGGTGGCTCATGGCTTGGTCTTCAATGGTGGAAGGTTCACTCTGTGGCCTCCTGCACTCCAGATCTGTGCAGAATCCATGGATGGTTACACAGTCCCCACGCAGCTCTCTCCTCCCCAGCTGCAGACTACTCAGTGTGATGAGTGGCCCGCCATCCCTTCTTCTCAACACATAAGGGGCTGTGTGTGTGAAAGTGGTGACACAGAGATTCCATGGAGCAGGGGTTCTTGTCTCGAAATAACTTAAAATCCACCTAGAGAAACTCTTCTGGGAATCAGATGGGTGGTGCAGAGACGTGCCCTCCAGGAGTGCAGAGCGTGACTTCACACACGGATGAAGTCTTCATTCAACTCCCCAGTCACTCAGTGCAAACCCTTGATTCATCACCTATCATGTGCCAGATGTGTGTGAAATAATAGAAATACAGAGATATACAACTCAGTCTCTGCACTTGAGAATCCCAGAGCCTGAGAGGGCAGACAGACATGCAAACAGAGAACTCCAGTGCAATGAGGTAAGGATCTGGAAATCACTCCCGGATTTTTGGTTTGGGTAACTCAGGGATGGCGGTGCCCTTGTCTTAGGTGGAAACCAGAAGAAAAGGAGGCTGCAGGGGAAGATGGTGGGTCCAGCCCAGGACATGTCCACTTAGCTGTGCCTTAAGTGGAGATTTACGAAGATGCTTCTCTGAGCCAGCACTGTGCTAGGCTTGAGAGCCGCAGAGACTGTCCCTCAAATAATGTAGTATGGAGCAGAATGAGTCTCACACAACATAGTATGGATGCGGAATGTCATGGAGGAGGTTTGGGGGCTGCTAAGGATGAAGAGGAAAGTGTCTCTTGCATGCATACTGGCCGAGGGAAGGGGTGCAGAAAGGTACCCTGTTCTGGGAGTCCCACAGAGAACAGCTGCAGGAAGGAGGAGGGTCCCCGTAAGACAGGCAGCACAGCCCATGCACAAGAGTGGCTGAGTGGAGAGGGCATCCCCCCTATTTCCTCTGAGAACACAGTGCAGCTTTGGGGACTTGAGGACAGCAGGGCTCTTTGAGGAGCTCCTGCAGCCAGTAGCACTGGAGGCGGCAGTGTCTTCCCCACAGCAGACACAAGGTTCTGGGCTTTAGGTCCTCCTGGCAGTGGATCTCAGCGCTGCACACCAGAGGAGAAGTACCTGCAGGAACTCCTAGCAACCAGGCTTGGACAACACTAGGCTCCCAGACATCCCTGGGTGAGTGTTTGAGAGGGGCGGAGTTTCTGCACTTGGCAGGTGGCTGCAGGGCTCACAAGTGGGTCTCCACTGCCAAGGAGTCCCCATTGGCACAGACACCTGCAACGGCCTGAGGAGGATGCCCTACTGGATAAGACGTCGTCTGCTGAGTGCAGTGGTGCTGGGGGAGAACCGAACGCTGGCAGCAGGAAGGACATCTTCACAGCAAACACGGTTCAACCTGCTCCTAACTGACATATGTCCAATCACATTCCAGGTGCAGTTTCCGTTGAAGCATTTTTTGAAAGCAGTGTAATCTGACTTTCCAATACACCTGACAGGCAGCAAAGCCCCATTGACACGGTGACCTCCCCAAGGTAGTTAACTCGTGAGCACTCCCGTTTCATTCCACAGGAATTAGGGAGCGTCTGTCCCTGACAGCAGGGAGCACGGGGTCTGGTGAGGAATGAGGGGCCCCTCAGGAGCTGAGGTGCCTGGCCCACTTCAGCACCACCTCCAGGTGCCTGTTACCTGGTGGGCAGAATCAAACACCCAGGATGGGAGACATCCATTCCAGAAGACTTTACCCATCTTCCTCATCTGGGAATGACAAGAGGCAGGGCTAGGGCAGGGAGAGCCATGCAGGCCCCTAGCCTGGTTCCTCTCCCCAACGGGTTTTGTGGAAATGATTCTGGAAAGGTTGGAGCCAATATGTGCCCCTGTCTCGTCCACTTGGCCTCCTCCCAAGGGTGCACGGGGAAGAAACAGACACTTCCCTCTGAACCACTGAAGCATCTACTCCTCCAAAGAACCAACTAGAGAGGGGCAGAGCTGCTGGCCAGCCCCAGGGTATCCTCCCAAAACTCAGAGCTTGTGCTTCTCCAGGATGGGAGCCAGGCAGCTTTATCGTCCGGCGGGAGACGACACTTTTCCAGGAGGACTCCTTCCTGCACTCTTCTGAAGGCGAACCTGACCAGAATCCAAGCCAATCCTAAAGCCAGGCCATATGAAAAATCCCTGTTTATACATTTTCATAGACTATAAACTTAAAGGTGAAATTCTGCCCACTTAAAGTCCTGGGCTGGCTACCCAGGTGGAGGGCTTGGTGTCCTTGTTGATGTCGTTATTTTTCAAGCAACATCATAGACTCCGCACTGTAGCAATGGAGAATTCACTTTGGATCCCAATGCTACATGAGCTTCGTTCTTTTTTCCAATGGATTTTCATGTAGAAGCAGAGCAGACTCAAACTGACATATTTTACTACCATTTACAAATCCGTTGTTAATAAAAGCCCATTTTTTATATTGTTTGATCACATGATACCCTTCAAACTGTTGTTTTCATTTGTTGACTTTAATTTTCACCCTTCATGTCCCACATCTCTTTCATTTTGACCACCACACAATGGTGACATGGTGGTTGGGCTATACCATGTTGCCATATGCTTAGTGTACTGCAAGTTTTTATTTGATTTTAAGCTTCTGGGAAAAAATATGGGACGTATTTCAGTGAAGTGTGAAAAGTTCTGTTTCTCTGTGTGCTGTCAATGTGCATTTTGATCACATGATGATATCAGGTTTGCTAATCCCTGATAGCAGAGATCATGTCCTGCCTGGAGTCAGACAGGTGCCAAACATTCTGCCCCAAAGCCTCATGAAGCCAGCAGGGCATGGGTATTGTCCTCACTTGCCTATGAAGAGAGCCTGTGATACACAGTTTCATGTGGGACTGACTGTCATAGCATAAAGTTGATTATTATTATTATTATTTTGAGACTGAGTCTCACTCTGTCACCCAGGATGAAATAGAGTGGTGCGATCTTGGCTCACTGCAACATTTGCCTCCTGGGTTCAAGCAATTCTCCTGCCTCAGCCTCCTGAGTAGCTGGGATTATAGGCCATGTGCCACCATGCCCGGCTAATTTTTGTCTTTTTAGTAGAGATGGGATTTCACCGTGTTGGTCAGGCTGGTCTCGAGCTCCTGACCTTAAGTGATCTGCCCACTTTGGCCTCCCAAAGTGCTGGGATTACAGGCATGAGCAACCATGCCTGGCTTAAAGTTAATTCATTAATACCCTCATCTATCTATTCCAGCAAATGTATACTAAGCACCAACTGTGTGCCAGGCACTGAGCTAGATGCTGGGCAGTCAGTGACAGTTGGAACACATCTTCTTCAGGCATCAGGAACTCTTCCTAGGGAGACACATGAGCTGGATTATGGAACACGATGGAAATGCAGTGAACAATATACACAAGGTTATGCGAAAGAGGACCAGAAGACAGTGTGCATGTGTGGGTGTGTGTGCACGTGTGGTGTGGGTGTGGTGGGGGCCCTGGGCAGCGGGAGGAAACCACTTTGGCTAGGCTGATCGGGAACCCATCCCCACAGAGAGAGATTTCAGTGAAGTCCTGATGTAGGAGGAGCCAGGTGCAGAAGGAAG